ACCAAGAGTTTTTAAAATGACTAACTATATTATTCAAAATGAGTAGTGAAGCAAGGCGCCTGGGTGACTCAGTCGGTTAAGCGTCCGACTTCAGCTCAGGTCATGATCTTACACTCCGTGAGTTTGAGCCCGCGTTGGGCTCTGTGCTGACAGCTCAGAGCCAGGAGCCTGCTTCGGATTCTGTGACTCCTTCTCTCTCTGCCCTTCTGCCTCTCACACTCTGTCTCTCTCTCAAATATAAATAAACATTAAAAAAAACATTTAAAAAAAATGAGTAGTGAAGCAAATGAGGTCAAAAGATTGACTAGTGGACTTTGAAAATAGGAGAAAGACAAGAAAGCAGGAGTTAAAATGAGAATAAAGAACAAGTTCAACCAGAAAATGGAAAACTGTACACCTAAAAAGCAGTTCCAAGTTCAGGGTGTTAGAAGTAGAACATTTCTAAGCACTTCCTTGTCAGGTCCCAAAGCATGGCTATGCCTAGCAATACCTAAAGTGGAGTGCAGGTGGACATCACTGTTGTTCAAAAGGTGAAGAAACTGTTATTTCGGAGAATTAGAAGGGTCACAGGGGGAAGGAGCAGGTCTCTTTTGTTCAATAGCAAACCCATTTCCAAACATAGTGCCTGGTATACAGTAGGCATTTAGTTAACATTTTTTGAATGAATGGATGGATATTATAGCACTTATCATAGTTATTTGTTTTCCTATCTTCTTCCCCTACTGGGCAATAAGGTCCTTGAATTTTACTTATTTCTGTATCTCTAGTGCCTAGGATAGGTAAGAATAGGTGCTTGAATCAAGATCTAAGGAAGCAAATGAGTAGTGAACTGCAAAGAATAATGACAGAGAAAGGGAGAGACAGAAAACTTGTGAATCAGGTGCTAATGTCTTCAAGGGAGGTGAAAGAATACCTTGTAGGTCTATAGAAAGGACCTTAGATAGCCTTTGAGTAGTATAAGCAAATGGCATTGACTCAAAAGAGGAGAGATTGATAAGAGGAAAGAAGACTGGATTTGGAAGTAGCAGTAGGACAAAGAATATTTCAATTTCTCTTCCCCCCGCCCCTGTGAATTCTAGAGGAATTGGCACAGTGTGTTTTCTACTCTGACCACCCCCCATCCCCACCCAATCTGTCACCTAGCCCTCTCATTATTCCCCAAATTTACCTTATCTTGCTTCCTGTTGCTCTCATGCTTCAATACCCTTTTTGCCAATCCCTCTGCCTCCAGACATTCTCTCGTTGGCCTTCCATGCAACAGCAAAAATCAAAGTTCCTAAGCATCATTCAGCAACATCAGTATTTATATTTCTCCAGTGACTCCCATTTGACTGTCAAACCAAATGAAAACTTCCACTCTTGAATTTAAGAGGGTCCACCATGTAGCCCTCACATGTAAACTGTCCTCACTTGCAGTTGCTTTGAAGTTTACACTGTGTACAAATTACCTTACCTTTTCCAAAGCTTCTAATTACCCTTTTCTCCATCCATCCATAGCCCTCTTCATCAGAACTCCCTGAGGACTCGTTTTCTCTTCCTGGCTATCACTAAAAAAACTGTTCCAGAAACACATTGCCTTTCTTTATCCTTTCCTCTGCCCTAGTACCAAACACTCATGAATGTTATATGTATACACTTTCCTTGTGTGTCAATATGTGATGCCCTATCAATTCTATCATAGAAGTATCTCCCAAATCCATCTCTTCTTCCCTGACCTTGCTGCCACTGGCCTGGATTGTTGCAAAAGCCCCCTTATAACCTTCAATGTATCTTATGCTATAGTCAGAATATCTTTTTTTTTCTTTTCTTTTTTTAATGTTTGTTTATTTTTGAGGGAGAGAGCGAGCAGGGGAGGGGCAGAGAGAGAGACAGAGGATCCGAAGTGGGCTCTGTTCTGACAGCAGAGAGACCGACACAGGGCTGGAACCCACAAACTGTGAGATCACAACCCAAGCCAAAGTCGGACACTAGCCGACTGAGCCACCCGGGTGCCCCCAGAGTATCTTTTCAAAATGTAAATCTGATCATTCCCCCAACACACATACACACGTGTAAATACACAGACACATGCAATGTTTGAGATATTTCATACTCCTAAAGTAAAAGCCCACTCATTAGCCTGCCTTGGCATATCTGTGGCCCTTTATGCCCTAAACCACATTTACTTCATTAGCTTCACTCCCACTACTGCTTGTTTCAAACCATCATGCTCTTACGTATGCAGTTCCTTCTCTGAAGCTAGTCCCCTACTAATGACTCTTACAACCATCCTGCTTCCAACTCCACTACCTTCACCCCACATGCCTGTAAACTTTTCCTCATCTTTCTTTTTACTTTTTATTTTGATAATTATGGTTTCAAGGGAGTTTGCAAAGAAATGTACAAGAAAGTTCCATGCACCCATCTTCCAGCCTCCTCCAATGTTCACATCTTGCACAATTATAATTCAACATCAAAATCAAGAATATGATATTGGTATAATTCATAGAGCTTATTTCAGTTTTCATCAGTTATACATGCACTCTGTGTGTGTGTGTATGTATGTGTGTGTGTGGCTCTATGAGATTTTTATCACATGTGTAGCTTTGTATAACCAAAACCACCACCACAATCAAGGTACAGAACTATACCATCACCACAAAGTTGTCTCATACTACCATCTTATAGCCATACCCATCCCTAACTACTGGCAACCTCCATCTGTTCTCCATCCCTCAAATTGTTATTTAACAAATGGTATGTAATGGAATTGTGCAGTATAGATTTTGGACTGGCCTTATTCAACCAACATAATTCCATTGAGATCCATCCAAGTTTTTTTGCGTTTATCAATAGTTTGTTTCTTTTTATTGATAAGCAATATTCCACAGTTTGGATATACCACAGTTTGTTTAATCATTCACTTGTTGAAGTACATCTGAGTTGTTTCCTGTTTGGATTACTACAAATAAAGTTGCTATGAACATTTGTGTACAAGTTCCTATATTAAAATAAGCCTTAATTTCTCTGGTATAAATGCCTAAGAGTTCAATTGCTAGGTTGCATGGTAAGTCTATTTTTAGTTTTGACAGGAACTGCCAAACTATTTTCCAAAGTGGCTACACCATATTACATTCCCACTCACAATCTATGTGTAATCTACTTTCTCCACATCCTCACTAGCAACTGATGTTATCACTATTTTTCATTTTTGCCATTTTAATAGGTGGCTCATTGTAGTTCTTCTCAAGTTTAAGACCCAAGTCAAAAGTTAGCTCTATAGAGTTTTTTCTAACATCTTCTGGAAAAGTCAATTACTCGCTTCACTGTGCCATCTCGGATACTTCATTTATCATTGTACTTTAATTACTGATTAACATAGTATGAGTCTTCCCCTCAGTTTTGAGCCACATAAAGATAAAAGCTGTGTCATATTCATCTTTGTTCCTGCAGCATCTGGTACAGTTTCATGCTAGATACACAGGGGGTAGTCAGTAAATTTGTACAAAATGGGGGATAGAATGAATGAAGAAACATTGGTCTTTCTTGCCTCCCTCTTCTTCCTGAAAGTTATAAACCTTTTTAGAACAGACATCATGCCTTCCTCTGTGTCTCCTGATAGCAGCAAATGGGGTTCTCTGTACATGTAGATGCTTAATACATGTTAGCTAACTATTCAGGTGGCTTATTTTCCCTCTGCACCAGTAGATAAACACATGAAAGAGAGAATAGGCTTGAGTATTCCTGTATTAAGGATCATATGTCATAAGTTTTATAATATTATTATAATCTCCACAATCACACAATATTTGTCTGCATAGATGAGAAATCAAAACAAAACACTCTTTTGAGTCAAAGAATGCCTCTGCAGCTGAGCACTTTTCAACAGTCTCGATATCCTGGTTACATATGAATTTGGGAGAATGGCATTTTATAACCCTGAATTCTTTTTGCAGTTGCAAAAGGATCTGGAATTTTTCTGTTTTTGCTGCATTGGTATAATTTGACATGTTGATTATGAAGGGGTCATTAACCCCAACATTTTGTATCACTTTCTGACTCTGCCTTTTCTCAACTCTGAAGTATGTTAATTTGCACTTGTTTATATGTCTCTGTAAGAGTTACTCAGTCCCATGAGAGCTGGTATGTTTTGTCTGAAAACTAGATTGTAAGCCCCGTGAGAGCAGGGACTTTCTAACTCCTAAGAATGCATTCTGGACAGTGTAAGTGTTCAATTAATGATAATACTAGAAGCCTAACTAAGGTCATCTGTCACATTGACAACTTCCTTTTCATCTATGATGCTTATAACTGTCAGGAAAAAAGCTGTTAGGTTGATTTGATACCACTGTATGATTCTACCCAAAATTATCCTCATTACTACTCACTACAACTTATTCTTTAGGGTACTTTCAGATTTATAATTTTGGATAAGTTGTTATTATTCTCTACCCTATAATACTCTGGTTACATATGAATTGGGGAGGGCTGTATTTCATAACCCAGAAGTCTTTTAGAATAATAGAAAGTAAACTGATAACATCTATGCTTTCAAAGCATGTTAATTCTCTTCAGCAGTCTCCATTGATAACTAGATAATAAACTCCAAGGATGTTGGCAATCTTAAATTATCATAAATAATCCTTAACTATGCAGTGTATATGTCTTACTTTCCCAGATTATAAAATGGAGTAAATATATACACTATGTCCTATGGCTATTAAAGTTAATATAAATATTTAAAGGAAGTTTGAGTTCTATAACATAAAGGTAAATTTGATTGTTGGTAAGGTGAAGGTGGAGGGAATTTTTTTTTTTTTTTTTTGTAAATCAGGTTTAGTAAGGTATAATTTACATACAGTCTGAATCACCCGTTTTAGATGGAAATCAAGTTTGATGGGTTTGACAAGTTGGGTTTCCCCCCTTCACTATTTGCTGACTCAGTTATGTCTCCAATTGCCCCCCCAGACCAAAATGACCTGTCATTTTCTGACATTTTATATCTTTTCTCTTTTCCACAGTGTACTAAAGGAGGTATACATAGCCTTTAATCCTAAAGCAGTGGTCTTACAGCTGGGAGCTGATACAATTGCTGGGGATCCCATGTGCTCCTTTAACATGACTCCAGTGGGAATTGGCAAATGTCTTAAGTACATCCTTCAGTGGCAATTGGCAACACTCATTTTGGGAGGAGGTAAGTACAAAGGAAGTTCACCAGCAGAATTTGCTGACCTTCTTCCACATTTTTTCCACTGGCACTGAGTAAAACTTGGCTTTCTTAGATTGGATAATACCCACATGCCTGTGATCCAGAAGCCTGAGTCAAAGAACTCTGCCCCTTTCACAATTCAGCATAAGGAAGTACTGTGGCACACTTCTCCTCGGCTTGGCATGTGCATTGACTCCTTGGTACTGTGAAGTCTAAGTTTCAATTCCTAAAGCAAAGGGCCTTTGGTTAAAGGTGCCATCAGATCTTATTAAGAATAGTGGGTGTTAACCTCAGTGGACTTTAATCCATCTTCTCTCGGTGTAGTTTTTGATTCTCAGTTCTAATAATCATCCTTTGGAAACATACCACCAAAATTCTAAGTCTACTCATATATAAGTAGTAAACACATGAATTAATTAAATAATCTAAGCTGAATTCAAGAATGACTTCTCCCTCCCACCCCCACCAAAAAAAGCATGGATTTGTTACAATAAAGCAAAATTGAGAGATCTAGAATCTCTTGGGCATTCTTGCCTTCAGTGTGTACTGATGTTTTGTATTACTTGACCAAGAGAAAGCTGAGTCTATTCAATAGAAGCATTTACACATTTGTGAAAGTACCTTTTACAACCTCAACTACTTTTGAAGATGCCTTGTTGAGAATCTTCTATCTATCCATCTGGCACAATCTGTATTTCATTGGGTGAATGAATTGTGCGTTAAAATAACATGGTCAAGCAGATTGAGCTTAAGACACAAGTATTATGGAACAGCTAATAGTTTGTTGTTTTGTCGACCTATTGTAAAAACCAAATTAGAGGAGGTTGTGGGAAGGCCTTATGAAAATGAGTGAGCATTCAACACAAATACACAAGCCAGGTCCTTTGGCAGACTCAAACCCTAGAGGGATCAAAATTAAAGGTGCTTACAAGAGACACCCTTTTATGAAAAGCAGGCAAGACATCTATTAACTTCAACTCAGGGAAAAGATAAAATTGATAAATGCTATGTAACATATTACTTTCCTTGACAGCACTAAGGATGTTGATTATGACACAGGTACAGCTCGGGCAAAGAAAAAAGCCCTTTCTACAATATACATCTGTGCAAATTCAACTTTTACACAGATGTGAAAAGTTGTGTAAGCCTTTACTTAGCATTTTCAAAGTCACTTTGCTTTCTCAGCCCAAAGTTTTGGCTTTTGAATACATAACTCTTCTTATACAATATGTGTATTCCTGAAAATGCCTTCATGTAAAAGGAATTTTTGCAAATCTAATAATCCTGTATGTGTACCAGAAAGAGTTTACTACTTAAAATCTATGTTGGATCTTTTTGAAATCAAATAATTATGCCCAATAAGTCAATCTTATAAATTCATATTTTTCACATCAGGAATGTTTAAGGTAATATCTGTACTATTTCACTTAAATTCTCAACCCCCAATAGCACATAGACAATTAGTGGAGATAACCATGTCCCCAAGCTTCATTTGACCCCATTGAGGCCTAAATGACATATTCTAAAACACCCACTATCCCTGGCCTTTAAAAGAGTAAGGCTTTCAAGGCTTAAGAGAAAGGTGACCATATGTCCCAGTTTATACATGTTATCCCAGTGTAATTATTAATAGTGTCCCTTTTACTGTTAAAAGTGTACCACTTGGACAATAAATTATATGGTTACCCTACCTAAAATAGACCAGCTTCTATTTCCCTCAGGCTGCACTGAGCTTAAGAAATCATTCCATTTCATCCTTACACTCTTGGAATTTAGCTAAAGGCCGATGTTCTAATGCTTGCATGGCAGAACACATCTATTCAGTGCAGAAATATGCTGATTATTAGCCAGTATAATATGGCTGCTGGCTGACTGTGACAGAACCTGATGAGATGGGTCAGAGCATCAATCAACAGTCCCTTCCCTCATCTCATTCTCGTTGATCTCTGCCACTAGGCCTGTGTTTTGTGGAGAAAAGTAATGCTGATATTGAAAGAAGGAAGTCTATTTCTGCCAACATTTTCCATTTCTCTTTCCTGGATACTTATGGAGCTATATCTGCCAATAGCTTTAACATACAAATCATATCCAGCAGCCATTTTATAGAATTGTTGCAAATTTCATCACAGAGAGACCTTCATGTTGGGTAGGTCACCTCAAGAGATCTGGATTCCAGGGATCTCAGTCTTGCTGATGACTTGATGAAATTCAGGAGCTTGGAGTCCTCAGGTGCATATTTGTTCAGAGATGAGGGCCTCTCTAATCTTTGTAGGCCTTAGACTTCCCAGTTCCACACTGTGCATGGTCTGACTAATCCACTAAAGTCCACCTACTAGATGGTTCAAAAACAGCATAAAGGGATGTTTAGGTGAAGTTCTGCAAGTTGGAGTTGTCTTTTTAGCCCTTTTATTAAAACATTTTTCTCTCCTTCCTTACCCTCCTTCCCTCTCCTGCTGTTTTGTGACTGTTCTTTCCTAACTTCACAATTCTTGATGGAGACAGGAGGCTATAACCTTGCCAACACGGCTCGATGCTGGACATACTTGACCGGGGTCATCCTAGGGAAAACACTATCCTCTGAGATCCCAGATCATGAGGTAAGTAAGGCTCTGACAAGTCCTCTCTTCTTTAAGGGGAAGAGCTGAGTCATTCCACCTAATCAAAATCACGTCCTCACCGCTCAATACCATTTTGTTGAGAGACACTCCAATAACAATAACACACTGTCTTGGCAGAATAGTGGACTCTTGTTTCAAAATATCCAAGACCTTCTGCCTTTTTTACAAGAGATCTCAAAGGCCAACTAACTTTAATTTCTCAATTAATCACAGAGACTGTGGGAAGGGGTCACCTGTTCACACAAAGAACTCTTTGGAATACGTGCATATTTTCATCCCCTAGTCTCAAAAAAGAAGGGGAAATATTTTAAACACATAAGCTGGGTTCTTGTCTATCTTTAAAAAGTCCCATAGGTGGATGTCACACCTGTGTTCTTTGGGGTCAGTCCTGGTCTTTCAGTTTCCTTTGACTAACATAAAAGTTAAGAAACACATAATCACCACAAAGACATGTCTGGTGTTTTTCCAGTGATTAGTGGCCCACAGAGGTGCCATGTGAAAGGTCATTTGAACCTTTACCATTTTCTTTAGTCATATGAGATGGGCTTTATACTTCCCGGAGCAAAGATGTCTATTTTAGTTTTCCCAAAACAGGTTAACAGAAAGCTGTCTGAGACCTGTGAGTATACTGATTATCCCTTATCTGAAGGTGTATTCCTTCTCTTCCCACCCACCCCCACACTTGGCAGGAAGCATGTTATCACAGATCAAGATGTGTAGTTGTAGACCTTAGATTATGTGACTTATAATGAAGCCAATGTGTGAACCAGTACCTGCAGCCCCACTTTCTCAAGCCATTCCCAGGAGTAGAGATGGTACTTTGGTTACGTTTTTATTCCTACCAGATGCAGAATCTGTATACTTGGGAACATTATTCTTTTTAAAGTTACTATTATTTTTTAAAAATTAGAAACAACCTAAACGAATTTCCTTCTACTTTTCTTCTAACCACAAATGAGGTATAATATGTATCTCTGAAAAATCACTCAACGTGTTTAGAATACAAATTGAAGGCATGCTATAATTTGAGACAATTTGCTGGTGTCAGGGTTAATAGAAGTTTCTTTTCTTGACTTGACTTACCTTTGTTCAGTATTTGGAAGCTTTATGAAATATAAAGATAAGCGAACAAATTACATTTGTGAACAAATGTAATCGCTATTATTGCTGTGGGACTATCTCAGATTGCATTGTAATTTAAAGTATTGAGACTTTAAAACTGATCAAGTTATGTCAAAAAAGTTTTAAACTATAGGAGCTTGAATTGAGAATGAGTGTTCTGTTCCTAGGAAACAGTGCAAATCCATAGATTCATCTGTCTTAAAAGGTTGATAAAATTTTAATAAAGATGAATACTGCCTCTGGTACCTGGAGAAACTATGTGCCTGAATGGATGTGGGCTTGGCCTTATAGATAGACATGTCCTATCTTTATGCTGGCATATTCTGCCAGATTAAATAATATACAATGTATGCCAATTGCCTAACACAGTTCTTGGCACATGATAGGCACTTGTAAAATGCAAGTTTTCTCCTTCCCCTTTGCATGCTCCTAACAACTCCTTATACCCAGACATTTATGACTTTGTCATTCATAAATGTGTCCAAACCCTTTTTGAATCCCTTCTGTCATATCCTTCTGGTACAAGAAATGTGAGTCATCCAAGAAGGAACAAAGAAGAAAATTGAAATGACAGTCTTCCCTGTACAATAAGATAACATTTTAATGAAAATTGCCAAAAATAGACTGCACAGTGTGAAGGCATATATAAGTTTTGTGCCACAATACATAGTTGCACACAAATATCCTTGTGGTTCTGTGTAATCAGATCAACAAATGATAGGTCAAAAAATATTTACTGAGCACCCATTGTGTGCCAGGCACTATGATAGGTGTCTTGGAAAATTCAAAGACACTGAAACCTCATCTCATCCCCTACCTCAAGCAGCCTGGGAGGGAGGCTGGTATAAGTTCTGGAGAGGTATGTAGATATACAAATAATTATGTTACAGAGCATAGTAAGAAACACAAGACAGTAGGAACAATGACTGTGGAGATGTGCATCAAATATGAAAGGTATTCAAAGGAGTGTACAAAATACCCTGCCCTCCAGGAGCTGAAAATATAATTGAGAAATCTAGTCAGTGAAAAGGTCAAGATAGTGCAGCAGTCAGCTGCAGTCTGGCTGACTCCCCCCCCCCCCCCCCCCCCCCCCCCCCCCCACTGTCTTCACTTTCAGTCTTGGGCTTTTCTTCTTCTATGTCCTGGGATAATAATCTTCCTCTTCCAAATGCTCTTTCTCCATCTCTCTATTGTCTTCCTAGGTCTAGCTTCAAGCCCCATGCCTTTAAAAAATCCCTTACCTAAATATACCAAGGCCCTTTGAGCTCTTCCTTCATATTCAGTTATTCCTTCATTCATTTAACAAATATTCATTGCATCCATACTACTTGCCAGGCCTTATTCAGACTTGAATTCAGAGATACAAAGACTAGCAAGTAAAACCAGTGCCCTCAAAAATTTCACCATCTGATAAAGGTGACAGAACAATGTGCTCAAATCCAGGACAGTTGAGGAGAATAGAAGAAATGTTTCACCAAGACTTTGAACTAAATCATGGAGGTTGATTGAGAGTTTGACAGGTAAAGAAGAGGGAAAGACATTCTAGGCAAAGGGAAGTGGGATTGGAAAGGACCTGGTTCCTCATGGGACCAGTGAGAAGTTTGATAAAGTAGTAGAACATAGAGTTCCTAAGGGAGAGTGGGAAGGATTAAGGCTTGAATGAAAATTGGAGCCACATTATGAAGAGCCTTGAACACTGCACTAAAGAGTGTATACTTTATTTCTGTGAAAACAGATGAACTTTGGTTTTTAGAAAGCTTACTCAGTAGCACACAGAAGACAGATTGCAAAAGAGAGAGACTTGAGAAAGGCAAACCTGTTAAGAGGTTCCAGTACACTCCTATAACATAGTCTATACTATTCATTTGGTCATCTGTATTTTGGTTGTCTGTATTCCCTCTCAGTGCTTAGCACAATATCAGCCACCCATCTTGTTGGTGTTCATTGTTTGAATGAACAACTGAATAAATGAGTGTTTTAATAATAAGGATCTCAACATTCACATGGTAAAACTCTTTTTAAGATGGAAGAATTAGAAGCCTTTTGCTGAAAAGACTTCCAGTAGCAAATACCCATCCTTTGCAAGAAGTACCAGGTATCCCAGCTGTAGGAAACAGATGTGCCCATGGGAAAACACGAGATTGCCAACTGAGGGAAGGGAGTTGAGAAGACAAGTCTAGCACAAATATTAGAAGTAATTAATGGTGAGATTTCAGTCATAGTTCTCATGAGATATAAAACCAGTGATGTCATAAAGCCAGTGATCAGGGAGTTGGTCCCAGCTCAGGAATTAGGGAGCCAAGTTTGCCAGCCAGGCATGGAGTAAGGAAGCAATCCCAGCTGGCAGAAGAGCTGAGCCCAGGTTGGAAAGAGAGGAAGGGAATCTGCCCATAGGCTGGCTCAGGTATCTCTACCATAGAGAAAGCCCAAAGGTGGCATGAGGTCCCATAAAAAGACCAGTACAAGGCTACTTTAGCAAATTACCCACTCCATGTAATAAAGCTTATGGACTATCATATATAAGAATGTTCTGTAATCCAGTAATACTATTTGGATCCTATGATCTAGGATAGAGTATGGCAGTTATGTTATATAATATATTCATATATACATATATGTATATGTATGTGCATATATATCAGGGATATGTATATACCTGAATCAGATAGATTTAGTAACAAAATTTAGTGAGTGAAAAATATTTACTTAACCAGACCATTTCTGATGGACTGGTTGGATAAACTATGCATGATTCATATGAGGAAATATATGTAGCCATTGAAAATAATGATTTATATACAAGTGTAGATTTATATACAAGTGTATGTTACTGGTGTAAAACAGTCTTGCAGTGCATCTGTAGATTGTACTGAATCTATAGATCAATTTTGGGGAGGAATAACATCTTAACTATATTTAATCTCTCAATCCAAAAATTTGCTATATCTCTCCATTTTCTTAAGTTTTTAATTTCAAATTTTCATTTATACTTTTCAGTGAACAAGTCTTGCACAAATTTTGTTATATTTACCCTTAAGTATTTCATGATTTTGATGTTATTATAAATGGTATTTTTAAATTTCAATTTCCAATTGTTTGTTGCTAGAATATAGAAATACAATTGATTTTATATTGATCTTGAATAATGTATCATTGCTAAACTCTTTAGCTCTAGTAGCTTTTTGTAGATTCATTAGCATATTTCATGTATACAAACATGTCATCTGTGAATAAAGAAAGTTTTACTTATTCCTTTACAATCTTTATGACTTTTATTTCTTTTTCTTGCCTTATTACACTGGTTGGGACCTCCAATATGATGTTGAATAGAAGTGGTTAGAGCAAACATCCTTGTCTTGTTCCCGATCATAGGGGGAAGCACTTAATCTTTTACCATGAAGCATGATGTTAGCTGTTGGTTTTTTCATACATGTTCTATATTAGGTTGAGGAAGTTCCCTTCTAATCCTAATATACTGAGAATTTTCTCACAAATAAGTGTTAAACTTTGTCAAATGCTTTTTCCTCATCTATTGAAATGATCATATGGAGTCCTCTTATTCTGTTAATACAGTAAATTGCATTAATTATTGCTTTTTAAATGTTAAACCTTGCATTGTTGGAATAAACCCTAGTTTGTCATGGTATATTATCCTTTTTATGTATTGCTGGATTCAGTTTGGATTTTTGTGTCAATGTTGATGAGGGATGTTGACTTGTTTTCTTTTCTTGTAATATCTTTGTCTGGTTTTGATATCAGGGCAATGTTGATCTTATAAAATGACTTGGGAAGTGTCCCCACCTCCTCTTTTTTTCTGAAAGAGTTTGTAAAATTTATACTATTTCTTACTTAAGTAT